TGAGTAAATAGCATGGAAACCTCTGCTGTCCGCAAGCTAATTTTGTTGTTACAATGAGAGCGATATTTTTTTAATTATCCATCCACACTAGGCTCACTTCCAGTTCTCAACTCCTCAAGCCAATTACCTTCAAATCCTGAGGAAGACGTCTCCTGTATCCTGGATCTGGAAGCTGATAAATCGACTTCCACAGCTTCCGAAGAATCCATCTCGCCTATCACATCGATTTCGGAAGTTTATTCTTGTACAGATGGTCACACCAGTTCTGGACCCGATGGTCCAACTAGCCTGAGTCATGGTGCTTTGCCGCCCTACTCCCATGTGGTCAGTGAACGCGAGTGGAGCCGGCTACAGCTTGAGTTGCAAACTGCTAGGAGACGACTTGCTGGTTCTTGCGAGATGTGCCGTAACTACGAAGATCAATTGCAATCTCTGCAAGCCATTCATGCGGTATACTCACAGTGATACACTCATTGATGCTTTAATATTTTTTTGTTATTGAGTGCATATTTAATACTTTTGATAACAAATTTCTCAACTTTGTCTAGGCTTCGACTCCTAGATGCATAGACTCGATTTTATCTGCAATAATAACATTTATAAAAAATGGCTTTACATTAATGTGAAATCGAATTTTTAAAAATCCATATAAAGAAGAAAAATCGAAACCGAGCAGAAACCCTAGAAAGGAGAGGAATACTCATACTTAAGATTGGAAGCTATTTCATAGAGACCTGAAGTAAGCGATATAATAAAATATGTGATTTGAGTCTGGCTATATTCACGATATAAAGCTGAAGAATTAAAAATTCAAGGAAGTAAGGGAATTACTATTCAGGAAAAAGTAACAATAGAGGAAAAATAGGATCATTAAATCAAATATATACTAAGAAATTGGAAGGTTACAGTTCATTCCCTCCCGAGAGCCTGAAGTTGTCACCGATCCTTACCGATAATCTCCCCATTCGTTGGGTTTGATTAGAAAGTGATTTCTAAGCATACTAGTTTGGGTGCAGCATTTAGGGGCCATGCGAACATCCTCGCCTCCGTTGGCTTAGTGCTTACTTCTGGACTGCAATAAGAAACTGTATAGCCTTCTCTTGGCCCAGCCAATAAGGCCCGGAGTTTGAAAAACCAGAATTATTTAATCTTTAATTTACTCAACATAGAAATGGCTTGACTTAGTTTTTGCAACTTGATACTGCCAGTCCTCAAATGTTATAGTTATTTACCTGCTTTTATTGGTTTCAGTCAAGACGTCTCCTCTTGATTTCTTATTGTTCTTTGGTGGCATTCTATTCACCCTTCCAAGTCCTCATGTTCGATATATTTCCTTGGTCTAATGTTATTTGTGCCAATCTTTATCTCCGAGTTTTCACGAGCAGTCTGCAAAGTTTTCACTAGTTCTGCCTTCCTCCAGTCTCTTGTTAATTAGATTTATTTCATACATGTTATCGATGGCTTCTCGTATCATTCATTTTATTTTATTTTCAATATAAATGGTCAACCTTTCCGTCGATTTGTATCCTATTTTGTGTCCTGTGCATAAGATGTGTTCCGCTATTTCGGATCTTTCCTTATCCATGATTCTTCAGTCTTGAATCTTCCTTGCCTTGTAGGTAAGATTTATGTAGCCATCAATAGCTTGACTGGGGGGAATCTAATTAACAGAAGACTGGAAGAAAATGAAAACTTTGCATATTGCTAGAGCAAACTCGGAGGAAATCAGGGAACAGCAAGATCAGCAAAAAGAAGACGACTAGATCAATAGAATATTTGAAATATGCGGATAAAGAATCGTATGGAAAAAGCCACTAAGGAACATTATGAAATCAAGAGACGTCTTTACTGAACCTAATCAAAGCAAGTAAACAACTATAACATTTGGGGATTAGAATACAAGAGACTAGATACTAGGAAAGTCATTATGGATGAAAGCGTAAGAACTTCTGTGGAGACAGATAGTTGTATATAAATTGTTTAAGCTTGTTTTCGCAACTTGGTCATATTGGTAGGAAGACAATGAGAAACGCACATTATCCGGTTTCCATAGTATGCGTGATAATTTTCAGAGTCGGACCGTGGTCTTGGTACATTGGCAGGCGTTCGGACGGCATCGTCAGCGAGCCTTGCCATTCTCAGCACCACACTGCTAGACCGTTGTGATATCGCTCCTTCTGTCCTGGGGTATTCACTTATCCTATATCCTCGTATCACCCCTTCAATATCACAATTTCTTACTTGTTTATCTAAATCTATTTGAAGCCTATTCACGCTCCTAGCTGGTTTCCACATCCCCCCGCTGTGCCGGAAGAGTTGATCCAAGGCTGCGGTTTAACTGCAATCCTTTTCCTTCGGGTCCTATCAGAGTCCCTCTCTTGTTCCGTAGGATCCTTCCCTTATCTCTTAGTTTCAATGATTTCACTCCATTGCTGCAACCGTATCCGTGCTTCTTAAGGCGCCATGCTCTAAACTCTAACTCAAGTGTTTGATAACATGTATACACCAGCATCACTGACCAAGCCCCTAAAGTCTGGATTCTTAATTGGCATGGCAACCTAACATAACTCTGTAGATTCCCTTATTGCTGTGCAGCCTGTGCACCAAGTAAATCTCGTGGTAAAGCTTTTACTTCATGGACAAAGTCTGTGAGCAAACTTATCTACTAATAGCTAACTATAAATGGTCACCACCGTTTCTCTCGTTCTTCTACTCATAATGCCAATTCTACGACTTTATCTTGCGTGCCGATCCTCAAATGTGATGGTTCTACTTGATTTTAAAAGGCTCACTGTAGACGTCTTCTCTTCGCTTCTGGAACGAGGTGTCGGAGAAAATGGTTTGGATTTGCCTTTGTAACTTCTATACCAGAGAATCTATAGGAAGAAATATAGAGGCCATATAGAGCTGATTTTAACTACGATTTTATGGAATTAAGATCAGAAATCGGGAGGACGACAGAAAGTGGGTATGCCTGCCCTCCTGTGAACTGAGCCAGAAATTGCGACCGTTGCTAAGATAATGAAATATCAAAGTGTTAACAAAAGAAAAGACAACATTTATCACAAGCCTGCCGACGCAACACGAGAAGGTTGACAAATTGGTTGGCTTGGGAGTCTATAGCATCAAATGGGTCAATTTTAAGCAGAAGTATAATGGTAAAACAGGAAGAAAAATCAGCCCAGGAATCAAGGAACAACAAAGTCTCTGCAGAAACATAGACACTAAAAGATCCAAAGTAGCGGAACAAATCGCACTGACGGGACACGAAATCGAATGGAAATTAACAGAAATGTTGGCTGCATATAGTTGAAATAAAAGAAAACGCAAGATGCAAGAAGCCATAGATATTCTGACTGAAAGAAATCTAATAAATAGGAGATTTGAAGGGGGCATGGTTAGTGAAAACTTTACATACTACCTAAGCAAACTCAAAGAAGCTCAGAGGACAGCAATATCGGCTAAAAGAAGACGACTGAGCAAAGTTAATGTTTATAAGTAGTTGTTTGACCTTGTTTTCGCAACTTGGTAATATTGCTTGGAAAACCTAGGGGAACGCATCTAGTTCGGAGTCCATAGTAGGCATGATAATTTCCAGAGTCGCACCGTGCACGTGTAACATTACCAGGCGATTCCCGGAATCATCAGTGACTCTTGCCAGTCCACACTACAACTCTTCACAGTGAAGTGAAGCTGATCCTTTCACCAATTGTCTGCTAAACAATCGTGGTATCTCTCCTTTCCCCGGGGCTAATCACCAATCCTATATCCTTGTATCACGCCCTTGCTATCACAATTTTTTACTTATTTATTTAAATGGTGCCCTTTTGAGCGGCTTTCATGAAAACTCTCAAACTACACACAGCCTTCCTCATCCCCTCACCCTTTTGCTGGGAATTTTGATCAGAGTCTGCAATATTGTTAAGCAGTCCTTCGATAGGTCTTATCAGAGTCTTTCTCTTGCACCGTAGGATCGGTATACTATCTCCTTGGTTCAAGCATTTCACTCGACCCCTGCCACCCCATCTGTGCTACTCGAAGCATTATTTTCCACATCTGCGTCTGGGAGACTAACTTGAGGCTAAAGCCCAAAATAATTCTCATGGTTAAGCTTTTGCTCCATGGATTACGTCTATGGAAAAACAGGTCTACGGCCAGTCATCTAGCTCTAGTCTCCGCTTCGTTTATCATGTTTTTATCCCTACTATTAATTTTATGACATCCTATGCCCTTGTCTCTTGTATGCCAACCTATTCATGTTGTGGTTCTACATTGAAACTAATCAAAGCAAGCCGTACGACAACATTTGTGGGTTGGCGCACAAGAGACTATGGAAATCATAACCTTGGTATTAGTGATAGAAACAGGATAGACGCGGCGGAGACTAGAGCTAGTTGGCTGATTGGTGGCCTGTTTTACGACAGAAGTGCTCCATGAACCAAAGGTTTGATCATGAA